GTTATTACAATAACATCCCCGGCAAAACTTTGTCTCGACTGTTTACATTGGCGACTACTGATGACTTTTCGCCACAACTTTATGATGTAACCGCTTCTTGAAGGGCAGTCCCAATTTATAGGGGAAGATTTCAACCCCTACCCCTTGTGACTCYGTTTCAAAGGGCAAGATAACCCTCGAAAACTAGGGGTAGGGGTAGCGCCAAGGGATGAATTGGGATTGGGCCTTTATGTGTACGGCATATTGACATTTGTGTTGTTGCTGGTATGGTACGTTGCAAAAAGAGGGGCAGCAAAAAATGTTTTCAACAGAAGTGCACACACCAGGCCTGCTCTGGCCTGAGATTAAGATAAAGTTCCATATTCCCTGCCTAAATAAACTAGCAGAGGTCCTCCTGAAGGTTGTGATATTGACATGGTTTTCAATAACAATATACAATAATTAATAAAATAACTTTGATAATACATATTAAATTAGGTCCATATCCTTTATCACTGCATGCTGACATTACTGACTAATTTTTATCTACACGTTATAGCAGCTAACGAAGGCTACTACCAATTAAACTATATTTATTTGACATAATTTAAAACAGCATAATTTCAGTGTGATATAAATTCATTTGAAAGGAGTTGTTGGGATCATTGGCTTCGGCGCTATTTGCACATGAACAGTGCCACAGGAGCTTCTCYGCTCAGACGTGTTCACAACAACACAGAAATCTCTGGAGTATTCAGCTGAGGGGTGGTGCAGCAGGCAGAGGCAGGATGTAACATATTCATTCTGCTTTGGAGATCACATGTTTTTGTTTACAGCACCAGCATTGGCCCTTATCATCAAAAGCTCTCAACATCTTTGTCAGTGTCKTCTAAGGTTCAMTGTATGGATCTGCCTTTTTCGTCCTGAGATATATGCATTTTCTTTTTCAGTTTTGCATCTGTCACTTTTTAGTAATGTCAGTCTCCTCCAGAGAATCTCCTGCTGTTCTCTTACATCGGCTCAATAGGACACTCTGTGGATTTTTTTACGATGGCACTTGCCGGAGAAACTCCACAGAAAATCCAGAGGTTCTCACTCAGATGTTTGCATTCTCATGTACAGCCCGTCCGAGGAATGTCTGGACAATATATTTCACTGAGTTCTAAAAGCAGCTATTGAGAGGTGGAAGGATTGAGTACACACAGAGACACAAACCAACAGTCACTGTGACAGTACACTAAGCAATGCAAATACACCACCTTCAAGTGAAGACCAAATTTATACGTAAATGACATTGAAAAGCGTGTAGTAATATGTGTGAGGTCACCTGTCGTAGGTGCAGGAGGTGGTCGATCGCACGGTGGTGTCAATTTTATCTTTGATGAGCCAAACAAGATCCGTGTCTGTAATCAGACGCACATTCTTCCTGTTCTTCTTAGCAAGGTAGCCACAGTCAGCATTGAAGTCACCAAGAAGCATCACATTCTGCTCACATGCACACAAACACAACAACACTCATGGTCACAAAATCTTACATGACTGAGCTTTGAAATTCYGTTATTTCAAAAGGATGCCAGTTGCCAGTGACCTTCAGCAGAACAAGCTTTTACCTCAGTTTTCCACATCTTTTTCACATGTTGTAAAACATCATACAGTGCATCAAGCTCCTTAGTGGTGTTGACTGGAGTGGTGTGCTGAGGTATGAGGACAAACTCCTTTATAGCTGAATATGTAAATAAGAGAGGCAGGATACAGGTGTTTATATTCAGAATCATCACCATGTGTTTTATTTTTGACATGAATAATGAGTGTTTGATAACTGACCTGTCTTGGGGGCTTTGAAACGGACAACAAAAGGTTCTCTGGAAAAAGCATCAACATCTCCTGGTCGATCATCGGGATACTGATACTGGCCAGTGAGACTCACTGTATCAGTCCTGCACACATCGGCATACAGACACAGTACAACTTCAACATTACAGGCTGT